GGATGGTGGCTGTGAACCCACTCGGGTGCCAGCGCAGGCGTGGAGCCCTGTGGCCACTCTGTGGGCAGCGCAGGGTGCCCCTCAGCGCAAGCCAGGCAGAAGGAACTGTCTCAGTCCCCATGTGCACAAGATCTGGCCATCAAGTGGCTCTGCCCTCCATGTGCCCACGCGTCCACATCCGAGGGACCTCTCCTGAGCTCCCTCCTCCAGACTCACACAAAGCTCCCGTTACTGCTGCTGCCTTCTGCCTAAATAGCTTGTGCTATTTAATACAGGAACTACACCTCATTGAGAGGTAAATGGAAGAGGCTCTGCAGCTTGGAAGCGTGAAAGAGCCACTTTCACCTGAGGGCCAACAGAAGAGAGAAGCCAGTCAGCACCACTAATGGAGTGGAGAATCCAGCAGTAAACAAGAGAAGTCTTTGCCATAAGGTGCCAGCAGCTGAATGAAAGAGGCAACGGGGTGGAGCAGGGCCTCTCCCGCTGCCTGGGCTCAGGAAACGGTAGCAAAGCACCGATCGCTGTTTGCACCGAGAAACAGCCGCAAAATGGACTTACCATCCCTTGGGGAATTCTGACCCCCTAGCATTTGCTTTTACCAAAATCAGTTTAGAAACACTAAAACACCTCATTTTGAGAATGTAGCAAATACCTCAGCATCCCAGTAGCATGCTGTAATGTGTCACACAGGACAGGGCACTTACCCGCTCCAGGGCTGTTGGGCTGAACTTCTCTCGAGAATCTTTATTTGCACCCAGGTGTTAGATCCTCAGGAACACGGCTCTGGTCCAGAACACGACCCCTGCTCATCTGGGGCACTCAGAACTGAACTGTGCCAGTAACTCTATTTTCGACTGCAAGTTCATAAGAAACTCCCAGAGCCTCTCCATTTGCAGAGTGGCGGTGGCGCGTTTTACTTGGCGGTGCTGTTATCTTTCTATTCCAGGCTGAGTAGTGTGATAGAAGCAGCACCTCTAGGCAGGCAAGATGGGGACTTGGGAAACTCTTGTTCACAAGTTGGGGAGCTCTCCAAAGGCAACAGCAATAACACTGCGATAAAACTAGCCAGGTTATCCCCAGCTCAGCAAATACCACGTGGAGCAAGGCAATGTCCTGTCACGGTCACTCCAGAGGTGTGTGCCACCGCGTACCTGCAGCATCCCACACGGATTGCCGGGCTGGCTGGAACCCTGACGCGCCGGAAGGGCTGCCTGCCGCAGTTCAGCACTCAATCCAGGCGGGAAAGCTACAAGACATCGCGCCTCGGCTGCTAAATCCACCCACGCGCAAAGCCTCGACAATTGTTGAACCCAGCCCAGGGAAGGTCTTTGCTGGCTCCCTTCTCTCTTCTGTATCTGATACCCACGTTCACAGCAGCAGCGCCTGTGGGGGAACCCGAGAGTGAATTGTGAACTGAAAGACAATTGCCCAGCAATCCATTTTTTCTTTTTTTTTAAAAAAAAAGAGGAAAAAAAAAGGCCAACAGCTCTGGTCTAGACCACTGAATTGCTTAATACACAGTATAAGGCATCTTAAATAGCAGCTG